CTCTCTCTCTCTCTCTCTCTCTCTCTCTCTCTCTCTCTCTCTCTCTCTCTCTCTCGTGCGCGCGCGCGTGGCTAGTTTCTTTCCGTGTGAATCTTCCCGTGTTAGCGCCAAGATTCAGCCCTTTCACACGGACAGAAATGCTCCGGGAGGCGGAGACACACACACACATAGACCAGCGAATGAATCTACCTGTGTAGTTGAAGAAGATTCATTCTCGTTGCAAGTGTCACGAACACGTGCCTGCAAGAGAGAGAGAGAGAGAGAGAGAGAGAGAGAGAGAGAGAGAGAGAGTGCTGTGCCGCTCCACTACTCTCGCAATGTGCAAAACGAGAGTGAATCTTCCGCTAGAACATGGAAAGATACACCGCCGTGATTATTGTCTTAAATGTCTTTTGTGCCAATAATCACGGCGGTGTATCGTTCCATGTTCTAGGAGAAGATTCACTCTCGTTTTGCACGTTTCGAGAGTAGTGGAGCGGCACGGCACTCTCTCTCTCTCTCTCTCTCTCTCTCTCTCTCTCTCTCTCTCTCTCTCTCTCTCTCTCTCTCTCTCTCTCTCTCTGGCGCGCGCGAGAGACACACACACACACGCACAGAGAGAGAGAGAGAGTTGCCAGGCTGTGCGGGGTGCTCCAAGCAGCCCGCCGGCGCTCATGCCACATCTATCGGGAACACAAATATCATGGTGGTGTATCTTTCCATGTGCTAGCGGGATATTCACTCTCGTTTTGCACATTTCGAGAGTAACAGAGGGACCGTTTTTTTTCCTTTGTTTTTCTTTTTTTTGCCTACAATAGAGTATCCCGTATTTCTCTCTTTGCTTTTTTGTGTTTTGTGTGGTTTTTTATTTTTTTTATTTTTTTTATTTGTCTTCTCTTTTCCGTGTTCTTCTGCAACTAGGTAAGGGAAGCTAGTGCCCGGTAGTTCGAGCCTCGGCAAGGCTAGGCATACTGGGCGGCCGAGGCTCGGACTGGATAGCTGAGCCAAGTACTGGTGGTTTAAGGGCATATTCCGACGACCAAGGTAGGACTTTTTCCACTCAATCTATAGTTGTGAAGCGAAAGTATATGCCCTACTCATAGATGC